CTCTGCTTTGCTTTTTAAGCTGTCTTATACTGTATTTCCTTACTGAAATGACAGCATCGAGTCTTCAAAACTTTTTGAGATGCATACAGAAGCGACACGACGGCACCAAATCAAGCATCCAAAAGAAATGGTTTGATTTAACCCGACCTGGTACGGTCATATTCAGTAAATTAGAAAATGTGTTCAGATGAGGCTGATTTGTCAGGTTGACAATTTTAACAATTGACAACCTTTAGGCAGGTATTAAACTTTCTTTTTATTAAGTATGAAATAAATGGACTTAATACTGTCCTAATTTATTGAATGGTCTGTATTCCAAACCATGGAGCTAATGTTGGGATACAGTTCAAGATGACAGACTGCTGGGTGCTTCATCTCTGCCTCATTTTACTGTTACTTCGGTTGTAATGCTACTTACACAGGGTCAAGTTATTAAAATATGTTCTGTGCTACTTTGCTAACATTTTTGTACAATTCTACATAGGAGAAAGCTTATGTAGAATACTGAAAAGGCTGGAAACGGGCCACTCAGAGGCAGGAAAGGACATCTGTAGCTAACGTTTATGGTTTCCTAGAACAGTCAGCAAAATGAAAAAGCCACAATAGGAGTCATGCTAAAACGGAAGTTATGCTAGCAAGCTAGCATAGCTGTTGTAGCATGTCTTCTATTGACCCTTCTGGGCTAAATCTTACATGTTAACATGAAGGCGTTTTGGAATACCGTTTCAAAAAGCATTGAGGCATTTTTCTTTCTCCCTGTTGTCAGTACTGAAGATGCTCAGGTTTCTGTAGGAGGCCATGACAGCCCGCTGCTTCTGCTATGAATTTGTTTTTATATCAGAAAATAAAACACACTGACCTTTTGATAAGATCTTCCAAACCACTCCTCATCTTCTCCACCTCTCCTAAGCTGTCCTTAGTAGATCTGCTGTCAGCGTCCAGCTTCCTCCTGGCCTTCTCAGGCTCGCCACGCTGGAGCCGCTCCAGCTGGAACTCCAACTGGGAAACAGGCAAGAAGACGACATGGTCACTGGAGACACAAGTGTACACAACAATCATGGTTCACTTTGTACTTTTGGTTTTAAAGTTGGTTCTCTTTAAAGGGCTGGTGTTGAACGCTGCAGGCAGCTGGATTTGGGTTTTGGTTGTATTACCTCCACTGCCAGTGATTTTTACTTTAGCTTGATGTTATTGCTGTTGAAAAATGCTGTTTGCATTGGGGTTTGTCTTGATAATTAATATTTCTAATAAGATTTTAGGTCAGTCTTCCTGCACATATCTCATCTATGTCTTTGTGACCAAGATGCTGAAGCTGATGCTGATAGAAATGAAAGCCGACCGCTGAACTATCGTATGTTGTTTGGTCTCAGGAGCTGAATATGTCACTCCACCCCGAGATGTTGGATGTCAGAAAATGTAGACTCACATCTTCGGCTTGCAACTGCAGCTTGGTTTTCTCTTTGGTCAGCAGGTTCACTTTGTCCTCCTCCATCTGCAGATCCTCAATCGCTTGCTGTTAGATAGAAACAAGATGTCTGAGCCTGGGCTGCACATGTTCCTAACCCTTTAATTCATCACATGGCTTCACATCCGTCTGACGGCATCACCGGAGCCTCGCAAACACTGGAGTAGCTTCTTTGCAAAGAACACGTCAAATGTGGTCATCTCCTGTTTGATCTACAGCCATCTGATTTCTTTTTATCTTGTTACATCAAGTCATTATTCGCCAAAGCCCTGAAATTGTCAGAAGGTGTGCATTGGCGTGAAGAAGCAATTTTCCCATTGCAGATTTCTTGTGTCACATTAATGTTTCGCATATTCAAGCAAATGCTAATTTAAGGCAAAGACAACTTCAGCTAATTGAAAATGCACTTTTTAATGATAGTTTCAGGTTGAAACTAAAATCCAAAACTGATGACCAGACATTCTATGTCAGGAGTTTCCATTAGAGAGCAGGATCCGTGGTTTCACTGATTACAGGGTGTGCTCACACTGCAAAGTTTAAATAAAACAGAAAGCCGCAGATCCGCGGAAGTCCAAGTTTGAGGAGGTGGGAAGAAGGAGTTTGTACATTTTTTGTTATCGAGGTGTACTGAAGACAAGGTTGTAAGCTTCACGAGTTCGTCTACCTGTTTACTCCGCCTGCATCTTTGTTAAATCCCACCAGCCAAGATTTCAGTGACAAAATGGCCATTAGCTCCGAGATGACTGTCGGAGTAAAAGTGAGCCAAGAGTGGTGGTAGAGAGCAGAACAAACACACAAAAACATGCAAGGTACAATAGAGCAAAGTACCAAGGCTACTGAAAAGTTCTCTCCACTCGCATTAAAAAAGACGAGGCCAAGATGCCGAGTCAGATTTTATTAAAAGTCAATTGCTGACCCCAATAATATGGCGGCGAACTCTCAATTCTAAAGCCCTGCCAATGCTTTGAAGCCCACTGCCCTCATAATCCTTCAAAAGTACGTCGTCCAGAGGGGGAAAACCTGTTTGAACATCTTCTCCTCATGTCACATTCAGTGTTATTGATTTGGCTGTGGGGTCAGAGTTAGAAGACAGGGTGTGACAGCTAACATTTACAGGCACACAATGAACCAAAGCAGACCTGAGAGTGGCAGGTTCTTAGAACGAAGGGCTCTGAGAACCGTGTTGGGTCATTTTCCCAGGCCTGACCTGAAGAACGGCTTCAGTTTTTAGTTCAGTTTGTGAATTTGATGAATGTTAAGAGTCTGATCCACGATAAACCAGTCAGGTGTGTGCTTAGAGCCAGTTACCTGTTGAAATGTCAGATTATACTAGAGCTAGACCACGGCCGAGATCTTCAAACACAAGACATGTGTCAGTCTCAGGGACTCTCACTGAGGGTAAATATTTCTTGAATCCACAAGAGTTGAAAGCTATGGCAACACCTGATACACACAAAGCATAAAATACGCCTCCTCCATCCTCACCTGGCTCAGCTCCACCAAATGTTCCTTCTCCCTCTGGAGCTTCTGCACAGCTTCGTCCCTCTGCAGCAGCTGCTCGGTCAGCTTCCTCACCTCGCCGTCTGACAGCTACAAACAAAACGACAAATTCAAAGTCATAATTCATCTTTAAAGAAAACAAACGGGTCATTTAGGTGTCAAAGCAAGATTTAGTTTGATTAAAATTCGCGATCTACTCCACTTTTACGCCGTGAAGTCAGTTTCACCTTCAGTTTCTGCTGCTGAACTGTGAAACCAGTAAGTATTCTGTTTCATCGGGGAAACCAATCTCAGTAGTTTTGCAGTTTTTCCAACAGACATTGAAGTTTCCTCTCAGAGGATTAGACACCGATTCTCGCTGAAGACACACATGTAGGCTGAGATAAATACTGGTAAAGAAGAGATATGTTTTACTATTACCTACAAAACAGAAGCGTTTGATCTTTCTCTCAACTGGATCAAACACATTCAGCAATAAGTGAAAAAAATTGCACTGCTTTCAATTTATCGCGATAAATTTCTTGTCATAAGAATTTTGATTTATTTGCTTTCACGATAAATTCCAAATAATGTTTAAAACAAAACAAAAAACACTGTCCATATTGTCTGGGTTGTTACTTTTAATGTTTTCTTCACTGTTTGTTTTACAAGAGTATCGATAAATATTAATACATTTGAAAATATGATTAAATGCAGTCACTGTGTATTTTAGCGATACAAATCACACTTCTTCATGTGACTGGTGAAAGGAAGCTTATTTTACAGCTATCGTTGCTGTACGATTCAGTCACAGTTGTATAGTAAACTACAAAAGAAGAAATAAATAGTTTGTATCGTCTGTATCGCAATATTACCACAAAGTATCGTGATAAAACTTGTCCATATCGCCCATCACTACATCAGATTTAAGTGATTCACTGATGAACCCAGATGATTACATAAACTGTACGAAATAATCTCTGAGATTAAGTCAGGATTAGCTTTTCCTTTTCACAGCAAGTAGAAATAATTTTGGTAATCCTCACCAATCTAAGGAGGAAAAATCTTCTTAAACCCAGAACTGAATTGATCTAAGCAGATTCCAGCAGCTCTACAGCGACCACCCCAACCACCTTCACACATGGTTTGAGAATGCACCGGCATACCTGAACAAAAGATAGCATCTTAATCCCTTAATACGCCTCAAATAAACAGATTAAGGCTTCGGTGAGAGGGCCGTAACGGAGATGGCAGAGTAGCCTCTGGCAGCGGCGTCTGAGCACAGGAGACGGGATTTGGTTACGGCCTTTAGAAACTTGCCAACTTCGAGGAAAGCGATGTAAGTTTTTATTGTGATCTGAAATTTACAGCACAGCTGTAGGTTAAAGAGGGACAGGCTGTGGCATGAATATCTGCGGAGTAATTGGATATAAAAAAGCCCAACATGTGTTTATCAAACGTGGTCGCATAAAATTATACGTTTGAGGATCTTTGCGTCTTTTGCGGTCTGAGTGAGTCTGAGTTTGTGTTTCGTCTTGCGTGTTTTCTCCTTGGAGCAGGAGTTTATCCCTTTTTATATTTTTTTATCCCTTTTCCATGCTTGACATGCTTCAGCCGCAAACTTTAATGTGCTTTGTTGGGATTCAGTGCGTCAGCTGGGTGGATGGTGACGCAACTGTCATGTTTCACCGATGTTTTCCATCCAAAACGAATCACATTTAGATTTAAAATGATGTTGATCCAGCCAGTTATATTGTTTCTAATAGATAGTGAGACGTGTCTCTTGGAAGACAATAAAACGGTGTAGAAAGGCGTATCAGTTTTGAAATGATTACATCATTTTATTTACATTTTATCATTAATAATACGTCTCAATAAGTAATGGAAAAACTTGGATTACACAAAAAAAACTAGCAAAAAAAGCTACCATTCTTATAATTTCTTAAGAGTTGTTTGAAAGTTTCTTCAGATATTCTGATGATTTACATACATTTAGTGATTTGTGAAAAAGCATAACTGCGTTTCCCTTTGAGGCTGTGAAACTCTGCAGCTCCTCCAGAGTCGCTGTTCCCAGAGGACTCAAAAGATACAAACACCACTTTTTTTTTCTACATGTTTAGAAAATCATGTATTACTTGTGTTGCACTTGAATGTGTTTAAAAATGATACTTAGTTTTGGTCTATCACATAGACTAAGGTAGAGCAGATCCTGCTTCATAAAAAAAACTGCCTCAACAGGCTCCTTTGGTGTCATGAAGTTATTTTAAAATTACCTTTATGCTTAAAATGAATTGGAAAAACCAAAAGTGGTTCATTATTAAAATTAGAAATGTCAAGAATGAGGATTTTTGGCACCAGGATATAAGAAAATGTATTTAGGATCTGCCTAAAACGCACTGTATGTCTTTGTTTTTAATATTACTTAAAACTACAGCATGTAACATTCATTTAAAAAAAATATATATTTTTTTTTTTACATATTTGTTCAAACTGTCACCATATTGTGACAGTTTAATATGAGACAGGTAACCTTTGAAAAGATCAATATTCCTCCTCTTCCTCAATGGGTCGCACCGCTCCCGACCAAAATCAACCAATCAGAGCCAGGAGGCGGGTCTTAGCGCTGTCGATCAACCTCAACTAAATGTAATCCTGCAGCTTTAAGTAAATACAAACTCTATTTGTCATCATTAATACCACTAATTGATTCCAAATGGGTATTATAGGTGGAACAAAAAGATAAACCAAAAAAAAAAAGCTGCTTCTGGCGCTGATGCCCTACCTGTTTGTCCCGCTCGGCCGCGGTCAGGGCGCTCTCCAGATCGTCCAGGTCTCGTCTGAGGCTGCCGCACTCCGCCTCCAGCCTGTCCCGGTGGAGGACCAGCGTTGCCGAGCAGGCCTCCTCCTCCTCCAGGCGCTCCGAAAGGCCCGACAGCTGCCGCTCCAGCTCCCGCCGGGCCTTCTCCAGCTGGGTGCAGCGCTGTTCGGACACCTGGACGTTCTCCTGCTCCTACAGCCGGACAAACATCGATTCAGCCTGGGAATCATACAGCGTGGTTTTGTATGAAATTCTTGTCCACTGTCTCTACTGTCTTTGTAAACTTTCTTTTGTTCCACAAAAGCCCTAAAAGCTGATGAACCGGTTGAGGAGAATGAGGGAGGTCCATGGGAAGAAAAAAAAAATGTCTCAATTAATAAAAAGCACAAGAGATTAGCAGTTAATATGAGAGGATTAGGGACATAAAGGAGAGTCAGGCAAACACCAACAGATTTATTTCAGACAAAGCTCTCACCGCAGGTTATGGCACAAGACTAAACATATCCACCTTCAAGTCAGAAGAACACTTCCCTTTGTTATTTTGCTTTTCGCATAGTTAGAAAGGTAAAAGGTAGGACAATGGCCGCCAGATCTGACTGGATTAGCGAGTTTTTCCTAACACCAGCTGCCATATGGGTGAAAAGGTCCAGAAGTGAGAGCGTACTCACTGAACTGGGCTTCATTATGGACCTGTCATCACGGTCAGCGTGTGTAGAATGAAAATGTCGTTCTACTACAGTACAGAGATGTACAAACTGTTTGCCATGTGGGCAAAAATGGTCAAGTTGGAAGTAGTAAAGGGCCATAAAAATCAATTTTATGGTCCTTTTTTCAAAAGCAAATTTATTGTATTTTTTCTTTAGTTATTAAACTAAACATGCAATAAGCTCATGAAATGAACAAAGTGGTGGAATTTCTAAATAATATTGAACCAATTAAAGACTGATTTTGCCAACGAACGCACGAGCTGTGCATTCGTTCTAGAATCAGTGTAATCAGAAAAGCCTTACCACCATTAAATCTCTACCTTAGCTTCTCCAAATTTCTGAATTTCACTGATTTCTACGTCTATTCGGTCTCTTTTCAGAGTCAGTCCAGCTGCCTCTGAGCTTAGAAACTGCAGCTCCAAGGAGGAGCTGAGTCTCAAAGGCGGAGCTAGGTCCACCCAGGTGTTTTTATACAGCCGAACGGTTGCCACGGGAGATTAAAGGACTTCTCAGACATGCGTGAAAGAATCAAAGCAACACTCCAAATATGTTTATGATGAGCGAATAACATCATAACTTAGTCAATTCTACATCGTACTGCAACTTTAAAACGAGAAATTACTACTTTTTCTACCACAATAATTCCTTTAAGTAAGTCCATATGCCCGGGTTAGGGTTAGGGTTGTTGGGATATTCTCAACAATCCATAATATAGTGTGTGATACCCACAGCTGCCAGTCTGTGCTCCAGGGTGGTGCTGTAACCGTCCCAATCCAGGTCATCAGGTTCTGGTTCTGCTCCAGGATCCACTTTAGTACCATTGGCTTCCTCAAAGTCATTAAGGAGGGAGTGGCATTTCTTACTTTTCCCTGTAGACATCATCTCAGCAAACCGTCACGCGGTATCTCGTCCTTTTTCCTTTTCTTTTTTTTTTTTTTTTGGAAATTTTTGTCGGTTCGTGGCAGGACCTGTGTGACAAAAACAACTTTCCCTCCCTTCCTCCACTTT